CAGCCAAAGAAAAAAAAAAGCCTCATTTTCCTCTCAAAGGGAATTCCCCATTCCGTCCTTTCAGCTGGATTTCTCCAACAAGAAATCTTTGCCGGGCCAGAAGGGAAATTGGCAAGAAATTATTTCAAAGGTGCTGAATTCCCAAGAACCTACAACCCAAGGCTCCTTTTTCCAAGCAAAGGCTTTCATTCAGGAATTGAAAGGTCAGATAAAGGAGCTTCACAGATAAGGAAAAGCTAAAGGAGTTCATCACCACCAAACCAGTATTATACGAAATACTGAAAGGTATCCTTTAAGAAGAGGAAGAAGAAAAAGGTAAAGATACAAATTGTGAACAACAAACATGCATCTATCAACAAGTGAATCTAAGAATCAAGTGAATAAATAATCTGATGTACAGAATGAACTGGTGATTATAATGAATCAGGGACATAGAAAGGGAATGGACTGACTATTCTTGGGGGGGAAAGGGGAATGGGAGATTCGGGAAGAGACTGGACAAAAATCGTGCACCTATGGATGAGGACAGTGGGTGGGGAGTGAGGGCGGAGGGTGGGGCGGGAACTGGAAGGAGGGGAGTTATGGGGGGGGGAAGAGGAACAAATGTAATCTGAACAATAAAAATTTAATAAAAAAAATAAAATAAAGATATATATATATTATATAATATATACACACACACACACACACACACACACACACTTATTATACAAAGCCATGGAATATAGTTGAAAGAAAAGGCAGACTGGTCCTATTTACAAAAAAAATTTATATTTCTATGAATAACAAAGAGACATTTTTAGGGGTAGACTTAATGATTATATTCAAAATGCAAAACTTGATTTTATTTTCCTCTGTTCATTTTTTCATTAAGTCTTTATCTTTTCCATAAGCAATAATGCATTTCCTAATTCCTCTCTCTAAAAAATAATAGTCTGACAAAACCTTTTTACCTTAAATGCTTTTCCCCCTCCTCTAGCCTTTGTCTAAACCAGTAGTCGGCAAACTCATTAGTTAGCAGAGCCAAATTTCAACAGTACAACGATTGAAATTTCTTTTGAGAGCCAAATTTTTTAAACTTAAACTATATAGGTAGGTACATTGTTATTAACTTAATTAGGGTACTCCTAAGCTGGCCTTTGCTAAAAACGTCCTCAATCTGAGGGGTCGACCTCAGTGAACATACCCCCACTTCTTCTAATGCCACTTCTTCAAAATAGACTCCCCTAGGCCGAAAACCGACTTCTGCGCATGGGCCACGAAGTTTCAATCGCACTGTACATGCGCGCCCGCACGTGGTATTTTGTGGAAGAGCCACACTCAAGGGGCCAAAGAGCCACATGTGGCTCGCGAGCCGCAGTTTGCCAACGACTGCTCTAGAGGGTCAAACAAAACCCATCCCAAAGGTGGAACAGCCTGCTTCTCAGCTCACTACCCCTTCCAAAGAACAACTGCCACTGTTTAATCCTCCCTCCACAGCAGAATTGTTGGCACCTGCTTACAGTCCTGCCAGTACCAGGAGCAGAACTTATTATCACCCAAACCCTAACATGTTATCTCTGAGGGAAGTAGCAAACAGGGAGATTGGTGAAGGAGTTGTTCAAGTACATGCTTCCTTTTCCGAAGACCCTAGCAAATTCATAGAGGGGTGTAATCACTTGACATTGATTTACAATTTAACTTGGAATGATTTACAAATTGCTCTCTCCCACTGCTGTACTGTAGATGAAAAGCAGCACATAATAGGAGCTGCAAGGGCCTATGCTGATGAATTAACTGGTTGTCATGCTCAACATCACATACCAACCAAGGGGAGATGCAATTCCAGATCAGAACACTAACTGGGTCTATAAAACTGGGACAGATGAAGGACGAGAGGAAAGGGACCGCTGGACCCATATGGTTACTTATCTCATAGAAGAGATAAAAACTGTACTATTAAGCCTGTTAATTATGACAAAATAAAAAGGGTTATTCTAAGAAAGAATGAAAACCTTTCCCTTTTTCGGGAGTGATTAACAAAAGCTTTACAAAAGTACACAAACCTCAACCACAAATATGTTGAGGGCAAAGCATCTGAGGATGGGTTTTATCCAGCAGGCAGCCCCAGACATTAGGAAAAAGTTAGAAAAACTAGCCTTGGGACCCCAGATCCCCCACTGAGTAACTGGTAGAAATAGCTTTCAATGTTTTTAACAACTAAGGGCAAAGGAAGAGAAAAAAAAACCACCCTGCGGACAAGAAGGACACTGGAAAATGAATGCCCTGGGAAGGGGCCTCCTCAAAAACCATGCAAGTGTGACCACTAAAAGATGGACTGTTCCGGGAGCTGGAGGGT